ACACACACACTTGCACATGCACGCTTGTCTCTATGAATTGATGGATCCGTCCAGGGGTAGAAGGGCAGATCAAACAGCACTGGAAAGGGCTTCACTCCAAAACACAAAAGATGAAAAGTTGACAAGAAGGTGGACAAGGTTCATCTTTTCCTTAAACCCCCCATCAGCTACCCACCCATCTCACATGCCACTCATAGCTCTCTCAGCTGTTTCCACCTCTCAGTGCAACTTGGCCTTCGAAAAAGTGAATGGGCACACTTGCAAACCCATTTTGACCAATTGTTTGGGGTTATAAATGAATGAGAACAATCTCACTTAGGTGCACGCACACACACGGAGGCACACATTTTGGATGGATTTTAACTGAGAAGAATGTAATTGATACAGTTGTCTGTAGATGCTTACACAGAGAACCACATTCGCATTATCAGAAAAAATAAGAAATCCACAATGCTTTGAATAAAACTCGTGGAATCACCAGACAGAATGGAGACAAATCTATAAAAACAATGCCAAATTAATGCACGGCCACAAATGTCTGAATTATGATCAGTCATGCACACATTTGTTCATCTTGCATCATTAATGACAAACAACCCCATAACTTCTCCTCTTGCTCTTTAAAAGGTTACTGCCTGCATTTGAATTTGCCTAGTGTGCACATATTTCCATAAACTCATGTATTGTGCATGCAGTTATAAAAAAAGAAAGAAAGAAAAATCAGTGAATGGTCTCTTAAATTATACATTTTAGCACTGAGTGGCTGCACATAAGTGTGTGTGTGAGTGTGTGTGTTTGTGTTGTGTTTGTAAATAAATGATAGGGTCATACCTGCGAGCCACTACACCAAACAACTGGGCAAGCAAACAAAAGCAAAAGCCGTTCGCTAAGTACAAACAACTGCAAAACACATCAAAAAGCAATCGTGCACGTGGCCTTTTCGTGGTCCGATAATTCTCCACAATTTTCTCTGGTGCCCTGATTCTTTCTTTGACATTGTGTGGCAGTGGCAGGGGGCACTGATGTGAAAATCTTAAAAGGATTAGGCGGGCTGGTGTTGCCAGCCAATTGGTGCTTGTCAATCTCGGAGGCCCCCGTGCGTTCAGTCTCTTACGCCTGGTACCAAGCCCCCTTTCTCTCTATCGGTCAGACTTAATGTCTGAAGCTTAAATGGACACACCAGCCTGTCCCCTTGGTGTGACAGGGTGACAGGTGGCAGATCAAGACACCGGGATAGAGAAAGGAGACAGAGTCGGCAAGGAACAGGCGGCTGGAGACGGAGTCAGGAAGGGCCGCGTAGGCAGGGATTAGAAAACAAATGAGAGCGGAGTGACGGGAATGTGGAAACACGCAGACGAATCATACGGGCGGATCTGGCTACTGTCATGCTGCTTAGCTTCTGGTGTCATCTCATTTAAGATTCCCATCCTCGGTTCTCCTTTGGAAGCAGATTGAATTGACAGTGAAATGCGTATTAAGTAACAACACCAGTATTTAATTTGCAGAAACTGGGACAAGAGTCAGCAGAGCAAAAATGTAGCAAAAAGAAAAAAAAAACTGTCTCTGTGTTATAAACAGAAACGGAGAATTATGCTAATACGTTGCAGCAGTGTAAGTTGTGGTACACGCATTGCATGGGGTTAGGGTTAGGGCCTAGTTAAGCAGTTGGGGTTTTATAGGCAATGGCTGGGCATCTTTCCAAAAGGATCCGATACAGCTCGCTTAGGTTTGAGAGAGAAAGAGAGAGCGAGAAGGGGGTGGTGGGTGGGGGTGTTTGGGTGATAAGAAGCAAAAAGAGAAACTGCTGCCGCCACAGAAGAAGACTGGGCCTTGGATAACGGTTATTATGGGACTCAGGAGTGTCAGACTATTCCTCGGCCTCTTTACATGGGTCAGTTCTTAACAGCACTGGCAACCATCCCAGCCACAGACACACAATGGAGCCATTCCTTGGTCATTACTAGCACACACTTTTCTCCAGCACACACACACAGAAACACTCATTCACACACATCAAGCCAGCATTGACTCTTAGTAGATGGGAAGGAATAACTGCCACCCCCCACTCGTCTCTGCCTATTTCTGACAGTGTGGTGCGACTTCCTTCGTATCTGGACTACGGATTCAACTTGGACAATGTTGTCATGGCACTCACCTGGTCTCCCGTGAGATGACAGGCGGCGAGGTTCTGCTCCTCAAATGACGGGGCAGAGCGGACGTATTTGAGCCAGCTGTTGCCAGCGGCATCTGGTCCCGTGTCCAGTGCAAACTTCACGTTGCCCATGTCATCCACCACCTGTTGAAAAGCAACAGGTTAGATATTAAAAAATAAAAAAAAAACAGACTTTTTCAACGACTATTCAATTGACTTGATTTAATCAAGTGATTTTTAGTGTAGTTATGCAGTTGGTGTCTTTACGTGGATTAAATATTTGTGTGTGAGCCAAGGGTTTGATGTCATTTAACTTTAAGGTACACAGAGCTAACATGTCAGTGGGTGTTAGGGCCACCTAACCTTGTCAATCCCAACAACAAGAAGAGGAAAGAGGGAAAAGAGGAGGGAGTACACAAACTGCGGTGTCTTTTACTTGTCTAAAGACTTTCCCTGGCACATATTGATCACCCTTTGTAACCCCTGCAGACCCTTGAGACTCCAAGAGTGGGTTTCATGTTACCTGCTTTCACAGAGAATGAAGGAGGATGGAGGTAGTGGTGGAGCAGGAAGAGGAGGAGCAGAAGAACAGAAGAGGGGCTCATTGTGAAGTGAAGAGTGAGGGGGAAAACCAGGAGCGACTAACCATGCTTTATAGCTTTTGCCAATGAGAAATAAAGGCTCCTAATCTAAACTGGTTCCTGAAGTAAAATGCAAAATAATGACAATTTTGGAAAGACAGCAATTTTGCAATAAAACCTTCATATTTTTAGATTAGACAGAAATTTGCGCATATATGAAACAGAACCAGAAATTGCAGGAATCTTTGGTGGTGGAAATTTGTGTTTGCTTGGTGGAGTTGGTTGGTTCTGGGAAATCTGGAGCTGGCAGAAACTACTACTACTCTTTTCCACATAGCTGGGTTTGAAGCTCCGATTTCTCCCTGGTCCTACATGTGATACTGAGCCTGTGTGAATCCTCCAGGAAGACCTGGCCTGAGACTGAGCAACTCCTCTAATTACAACTACCAATCAGCCTGGCTTGAGTTCAGCCCTGACTTCTAGTATGACACGGTGCACTCCTAATCACAGTAAAATGCCTGCTGAAGGAAATCGAGGTGTGATGGAGAAGAACCAACAAACCCTCTGACATTTTTAGATGTGCAAGGTTCGCGAACTTCTCTAACTGCCTGCATTTCTAAACCCGTGCTCATGTTTTTTCCCCTCCAGCTCGTAAAGTGTGAATGCCTATGTTCTTATTCTTGAATGCACGCGGAAGGTGTATTTTTGTGGGCGGGGGTGCAGGTGCCAAGTCTGGTGAGTAAATATGTAAAGGGTCTGGATGGAGGTGTGGAAGAAACGCCATGTGCATGCTTGTACAAATACGGCAACTGTTTTAGGCGGATGCACGTATGCACGGCTAAGGCAACAGCTTGATGTAACAGCAGTGCCGTGCTACTTTCAAGCCGAGGTATGAGTTTACCGAAGTAACTACAGTAACTGCGCCTTCTTTAGAACAATGATGCCTGTTAGCGCCTTGGCTGAAAATACATATTAAAACCTAAAGGTGTTTGAAAACGCCGTTCAGCGAGGCTAGAACGAAAGCTGCAGCTGTTGGTTGTGTGTTTGTAAGAGTGTGGAAAGAGACAGTTTACTGCAAATCAGTTGCTTCTATGCATTCCCTATAACTCACACTCAGATATTCAAAAGCCCTATATATAT